AAAGACTTGCTGTATTTTTCTTTTTCTTTTCCTTTTTTCTCCATTCCTTCATTTTATTATTATTATTTTTTTTTCGATTCGTTGGACTTTGGCAATCATTCTTTTCTTCAAATTCAAGCATTTTTTTTTTGACATGTAATATGGACATGTATAATGCTCACCACCCCAAACTTAAGATCTTGCTTGTCCTCAAGCAACTATAGTCAAAATTAGCACCCCAAACTTAGTTTCTTGCAATCATTCTTGACGCAACTCAAAAGAAATATCTCTCTTAAGGGAAGGAAACTATGTTGGCAGGCTAAGTTTAGCAAAAGAAGGGAGTGTAGAACAAAGGAAATTTGGTGGGGGGTGTTCTGGGGTGGATATGTGCAAAGAAGGCCTCAATCATCTAGATGAAAAATTGTACAATGCATATTCAATTAAGAAACAGGGCAAGTTCTAGAAGATGAATGCAAAAGTACATGTAATGTGCACACAAAAAAAAGAATTTTAAGGCCCAATTCTCTACCATGGTAAAAGAGATAATAGAGATAATTTCTTAGCAACATGTGAATACAGTTCACCTTACAGGAAACTATGTTCAGTGTGGTAAGAACGATAATTGTTGACAAAACAGAGAATGATTGAGTTGAATAGGAAGTGCGATCAGAATATAAAATCAGGATTAGAAAACAAAATTTCATCAAAAATAAAAAGTAAAGAAACAAAGAGGTTGTTTTGGTATTTTATCTATGAACTATGCAGGAAAAACAGACTAAACAATGCGAAACAGAGGCAAAGAGATCACCCCCCTTTCAGAGTCACACTCAGAGATCAATTTCATGCTCCTCTTGATGTTACTGAGGGCATTCTCTGCACAAAGACGCACAAAGGATTCAGCACAGAGTATAAGAATAGAATTTAAACTGCAAATAGTATATATATGGAAGCGTCAAAGAGTGTTCAAGGGGTGATGCATGAAAACAAAGGGGAAAATAGTACTAAAGATGATAATTACAATGAAAGGAGTATTTACTAAATACAGGGAAATGAACTAGAAATTGTAGAAATATAAATGACAGAAAGAAAAGCAAAGCTATATAAGATCTTCATTTGAGCTGGAGGATGAAAGATTGTCATCATTCTCATCATCATCCTCTTCCTCCTCTGAAGAACTGGAGCTGTTATCCTTCTCAGTTGCAGGTGCATGGGTGGTGGTGAATGGAGGTAAATCCTGGTTAACTGCTGCTCTAAGGAAAGGGGCAGTGAAGGTAGGGGCGTCATAAATCTGTTCTGATGTCATGCCCAGCTTCTTTCCTATATTGAGGGACATAGTTTCCAGGAGGGTCAGCATGGATTTCTGGCCAGCATGGATTGCATCCTGCCTCAGTGCTATTTGTTTGACCTGCTCTCTAAGATTCAACTGGCTTCTCTTCCTATATTCAGCAGGGAGGGAGAGACCTGGGTCAGCAGACTTCTTCTTAGCATTAAAAAGATCTTTCACCATGGCAGTAGTGATGGGAGGGGCAGCTTTGACTCTCTGTTGATATTCACCCATGTCTACTCCAGCATCCTGGCAGAGCATGGTGATGATGGAAGGAAAAGCAAGGGAGTCCCTCTTGGTGCTTAAGATGCTCATGATGAAGTTGCTTATAATGTCTCCCACATGGATTGGCATTCTAGTGAGGATGGCATATAGAAGCTCAGCTCTTTTGACAGCCAATGTGGAGGAATGGTGTACTGGCATGAAGGAGCTTAGCAGGAAAATGCTCCACACCTTGGCTGGTGGGAGGAGGTGTTTGGTGGTCAGATTCTTGGGCATGAGCTGCATGTCAAACTCCCAATTTTCTCCTGGTTTACAGATGGCCTGGAGTATGGGCTTGTAGTCCTTCTCTTCTAGATAGCTGAATGTAGTGAAATCAAGCTGTCCAGCTCTCCTCTCCACTGGAGGTATGTTCAGAACCCTCTGAATGTTAGATGGAGAAAAATCAATTTCTACACCTTTTACCATAGTGTGCCAAAGGGCCAGCTGGTCTCCTTTTACCCTCATTGCATTAGCATAAAATTCTTGGGTGATCTCCTTCCACCCATTTCCAGCACAAGAGGTAAACAGATCCCAGCCCCTCCTCTGAATTTCCTCCTAAAATTGAGTATAGGTGCCCTCCTGGATCTCAAAGTTACGATCTTGCACTATCTGCCTTCGCAGGATGTTGGTTCTGAAATATTCTTCATGAGCTAATGAGCGAAACCTCGGGTCATGTGCAGGAGGGGGTCTGGATGATGAAGCTCCAGCAGCTCTGGCTCTCTTGGCTCTAGGGGTGGTCTTCCTGGGTGTATTAGCCATGTTGCTGCAGATTCACAGTTTAAGTGATGTTAGAGTATGCACTGTGAGGTGTTGTGCTGCCAAAGTGTTGACTATGCAGAATGACAGTAACTACTTTGGACACAGGGCAGCAACAATTTATGCAGAAAGGTTAAAACATATCAGTTCAAAAGGGCAAACTTAACAAGAAATAGTGTGTAGAACTGCTGCTGCATGTGTGGTGGCAGATATACTATACCTATGCAGTAAAGAACATGGCAAAATGATGATCATGGCACACAGTAATCACTCTAAAATCTAGTCCTGACAGGTAGGATGCAGCAGATTGCAAAAATAACTAGGCTAAGCATGTGGATGAAGGTTCAAAGTGAGTATACATGCTTCAGAAATTGTACACATAGTCAGTGAATGCATTTGAGCATGAGAGTGAACAGATAGTGTTATGCAGTGTATGATTATGCAGATTTTCAGCAACATGAAAGAGGTGCTCAAGGGTGATTGAATGTGTATCATAAAAGTGCAGCAATGATAATAATCTATCACATTCAAGACAACAAAGAATCCCAAAATGTCACATTGTGGTGAGGGAGGTGCAGATAAAATGGTTACTTATGTTCATGGCAATGATCACTACAAGGCTTAATTGCTGTCAAAATAACTAGGATAGCACAAGGGAACTGTGTAATTAGTAGTGAATTCAGGAAATGTATCAAAAATTAAAAATTACATATCCTAGTTGAACTATGTAAATATCAGCACAGCAAAACACTTAAAGTGAAAACTATTGCAAATGGGAGCGGTTACTCCTAAGGTAACACTTTTCAATTCAGCAGAACAATCAGATGAAATGCCCCCTTCATCTTTCAATCATCCAAACATCCAATTAATAACTGCAGCAAGTTAACAATTTCAATTCAAAAGGTCCAAATGCAGAATATCCAAAGTGAGCACTCTGGGCGCATAGGGCAACTACCCTAGGGTTTAAAATATCGAAAGTGCAGCAATTAAACGCAAGTGACTGGTCCATTAAGTCTGAAATGCAGAATTATTGATGGAATAACAGATTAAAACACCCAATTGCAGTCCAGTAAGTTGCGAAATTAAAATCCCTAATTTCACAGCAAGAGCCCTAATTCCAGGCATTAAAAGTTAAAAATTACCTGAATTGGATGTGCTAGGTGCGAAACAGATGTGAGCAACTGAACCTTTGGGGCAATGAATCAAATACGAATGGAGGAGGGGGATGAATTTGAGAATGGCGGTGAGAATTGTTCAGAACTGGGGTGAGAGTGTGTGAGAGAGTGAGCACTATATATATATAGGGGGGCCAGAGTGGTTACTCTCAAAAGTTAACAGTGAACACGCGCACAAGGTTTTGGTGCAAATGAGCTGGGCGTGTTCACTCTGCTTTTTAAGAGTAAACACTCCAGAGGCATCTAAGTTCAAAAAGAGGAGTGAGTCTGCGCGTGTTTACTACCAACTTTACAAGAGTAAACACTCCAGAGGCTTCTAAGATCAAGGTGTGTAAAAAGCTCTGCGCGTGTTTACTGTCAACTTTTGAATAGTAAACACTCCAGAGGCTTCAGGGTGAAAGTGGGTAAAAGGCTCTGTGCGTGTTTACTGTCAACTTTTTAATAGTAAACACTCCAGAAGCTTCACCCTGGGCGCTGTGCTAAAAGGCTTGGGAGTGTTCACTATGATTTTTAAGAGTAAACACGCGCAACACCTTGGGCTTACATGCAATGAAAGTAATCACTATTAAATGTGAGAGTGTTCACTACAGAGAGTGAAAATACAAGTTAGAATTGAAAGTGATTACTTTTGTTCAGGAAAGTGCTTACTTTCATGATGATTTTTTTTTTTGTTTTCTTACCAAGGGGATTGCCTTAAGCCTGAAAAATATTTACCATCCTGCTGCATTCAAACTTGCTTGACTTTGTGCAGCATTTAGCCCCCACAATCATGATCTCACTCTGCCAAAATGGAGATTATGCAGAAAAAACCATATTAGTTAATGCAACAAGGTACCAAGATAAGGAAGTATCAAAATAGAGAGGCTCAAATGTAAGACCAGTATTTATTGCAGAAAAATAACTAAAAATTCCTAAGATCTTTTGTGAGTTGCCTCTCACACAGCGCTTCTTTAACGTCACTAGCTTGACGTATGAAGTGGATTACTCAGACCATAGGTTGTAGGAGAGATTAGTGCATGGTGAGTGCAATTCAATCTCCTCAACTTCTTCCAAGGTAACTGAATTTTGTAAGAATGGCTTCAACCGATGTCCATTCACCATAAAGCTTTTGCTAGTGGAGTCACTTATGATTTCCACTGCACCATGGGAAAATACCTTCGTAACAGTGAAGGGTCCAAGCCATCTTGATTTGAGCTTTCCAGGCATGAGTTTAAGACGAGAATTAAACAAAAGAACCTTCTGACCAACGTAGAACTCTTTGCTTGAGATCTTCTTGTCATGATATTGTTTGGTCTTTTCCTTGTAAATTCTGGAGTTCTCATAGGCCTCCAGACGTAGCTCCTCCAACTCTTGCAGCTGTAATTTTCTCTGCTCTCCAGCTGAGTCATAATGGATATTGCAAGTCTTTACTGCCCAGTAAGCTTTGTGTTCTACTTCAACTGGTAGATGGCAGGCTTTTCCATATTTCTATGGGGCTGCACTACTCTCTCAAGTATTTTCTTGATTTCCCTATTGGAGAGCTCAGCCTGCCCATTTGTTTGTGGGTGATAGGCAGTGGAAACTTTGTGCACAACTCCATATTTCTTCAATAAGACTTCCATAGTCCTATTGCAGAAATGACTTCCTTGATCACTAATGATGGCTCTAGGAATTCCAAACCTACAAAACAAGTTGCTACGGACAAAATCTGCAACAACTTTAGCATCATTAGTCCTGGTGGCTTTAGCTTCCACCCATTTTGAGACATAATCAACAGCAAGAAGTATATACAGAAAACCAAAAGAGGAAGGGAATGGTCCCATAAAATCGATACCCCAGACATCAAAGATGTCACAATACAGGATGGATTGCTGGGGCATCTCCTGTCTCCAGGTAATTACTCCGCCTGCTCTCTGGCATCTTTCACAGGTGGAATATGCTTGCCATGAATCCTTGAAAATGGATGGCCAATATAGTCCTGCATCCAATACTTTTCTTGCAGTCCTCTGGGGTCCTTGATGACCTCCTACAGCTGAGGCATGACAGAACTGCAGTATGGATGAGATCTCTTCATCAGGCACACATCTTCTAATAACTTGGTCACTGCAGAATTTCCATAAATAAGGGTCATCCCAAACATAGTGTTTGGCATCACTCCTTATCTTATCCTTTTTGGCTTTTGGTGCATCTGTTGGAAAAACTCCTGCAGCAAGAAAGTTAACAATATCAGCGTACCAAGGTGTCTGTGAAGCATACAACTCTAAGAGTTGTTCATCAGGAAAATCATCTAAAATTGGAATAGGGTTAGGAACTCCCTCTATCCTACTCAGGTGGTCAGCTACCAGATTTTGGGTTCCGCTTCTATCCTTGATCTCCAGATCAAACTCTTGAAGTAGAAGCATCCATCTTATAAGCCTAGGCTTAGAATCTGTCTTTCTCAGTAAATACTTCAAAGCAGAATGATCAGTAAAAACCACAACTTTTGACCCTAACAGATATGATCTAAACTTATCCAATGCAAAAACAATGGCCAACAATTCTTTTTCAGTTGTGGTATAATTACATTGTGCTTGATCCAAAGTTCTAGAAGCATAATAAATGATGTGAGGAAACTTACCAACCCTCTGAGTCAATGCAGCCCCCACTGCAAAATTGGATGCATCACATATTAATTCAAATGGTGTGGTCCAATCTGGAGGTTGGATGATGGGTGTGGTAGTCAGGGCTTCCTTAAGCATATTAAATGCTTCCTTGCACTTTTCATCAAAATTGAACTCAGCCTCCTTTTGCAAAAGCTTAGACAAGGGAATGGCAATTTTGGAGAAGTTCTTAATGAATCTCCTGTAGAACCCTGCATGACCAAGAAAAGCACGAACCTCTCGAACACAAGAGGGGTAAGGTAGTTGTGCAATAACATCAAGTTTTGCGGGATCTACTTCAATTCCCTTTTCAGAAATGATATGGCCTAAGACTACACCTTGTTCTACCATGAAATGACATTTTTCAAAATTTAGCACAAGGTTAGTATCAATACATCTTTTCAAAACTTTTTCCAAATTAACCAAACATGCAGAAAAAGATGGACCATATACAGTAAAGTCATCCATAAAGACTTCTATGCAATGCTCCACTAAATCAGAAAAAATACTGAGCATGCATCTTTGAAATGTGCCTGGAGCATTGCACAAGCCAAACGGCATTCTCCTATAGGCAAAAGTGCCAAAAGGACATGTAAAAGTGGTTTTTTCCTGGTCTTCAGGTGCTATACAAATTTGAAAATAACCGGAAAAACCATCAAGGAAACAATAGTGAGACTTACCAGCCAACCTTTCCAACATCTGGTCAATGAAAGGCAATGGGAAGTGATCCTTCCGGGTCGCTTGGTTAAGTCTCCGGTAGTCTATACAGACTCTCCAACTGTTCTGGACTCTGGTTGGTATTAACTCATCTTTTTCATTCTTTACCACAGTGAGTCCAGATTTCTTGGGAACTACTTGGACCGGGCTGACCCAAGTGCTATCAGATATAGGATAGATAATCCCAGCTTGCAGCAACTTGGTGACTTCTTTCTTCACCACATCTAAAATGATGGGATTTACCCTCCTTTGAGGCTGTCTCACTGGTTTAGCACCCTCCTCCAATAATATTCTGTGCATACAAAGAGAGGGGCTAATTCCAGGAATATCGGCAAGCGTCCAGCCTATAGCCTTCTTGTGCCTCCTTATCACTTCTAGGAGCTCCTCCTCTTGATTGATATTCAGCTTAGTGGAGATTATCACTGGAAGCTTCTCATTTTCCTCTAAATAGACATATTTCAAATGCTCTGGCAATGGTTTAAGCTCTAGTGTAGGAGATTGCTCCACAGAGGGGAGTGACTTGGCACTTTCAGTAGAAGAAATTTCTGCAACATTCAAGTCAAAGGGGTTAGATTCAATTATACTTGCTGAACTCAAAATATCACATTCTTCCCCTATTGATTTTTCAATTTCCTCAATAACAGAAGTTGCAGAATTCACATTCAAAAAGTCAGAAATACAATTGTCACATACAGAAGAATTATTACAGTATTCACAAATGGAATTGTCTATAAATTCAGAAAAATTAAGAGCAAAATCTTCTTCTAAAAACTCAGAACATTGATCATCTATCAAATCATCCAGCAAATCAATTTGGAAAACAGAGTGTTCTTCCAATGGATGCTTCATGGCGTCCAAAATGTTGAAGCGCACAATGCTGTCTCCAAACTCCATAGTGAGCGTCCCAGCGTGCACATCAATTTTCGTTCTTGCAGTCTTCAAGAACGGTCTTCCCAAAATGATTGGTGCCGCACCTTTCACTGATTCTCCCTCTTGCATGTCCAAAATGTAAAAGTCAGCTGGGAAGATGAGATCATTCATTCTGACTAATACATCTTCAACAATCCCAGCTGGGTTTGTTATGCTTCTGTTGGCTAACTGAATAACCACACCTGTTGGCTGCAGAGGGCCAAGAGATAGTGAAGTAAAAATAGACAATGGCATGACATTTATAGATGCTCCTAAATCTAGCATGGCATTCTCAATCATATTATTACCAATAATGCATGGGATAGTGAATGTTCCTGGGTCCTTACATTTCTCAGGCATTGTGGACCTTTGTTTTTCAAAGAGTGCAGAAACATTCCTACCCATATTTACCTTCTCATTACCCTTAAGACGCCTCCTATGGGTGCATAAGTCTTTCAAGAACTTGGCGTACTTGGGTATTTGCTTGATTGCATCTAGTAGAGGTATGTTCACCTCTACCTTTCGGAAGGTCTCAAGGATCTCTTTCTCAGCCTCTTCAATCTTCTTGCTTGGTTGGATAACTCTCTGAGGAAATGGTAGAGGAATTGGCCTATCAACATTTTCTGCCGCCTTTGGTTGGGCAGATGTAGGTTCTGGTTGTTCTTGAACCTTTTCCTCTCCATTTAGATCAACTGTAGATGGAGCACATTTTGGGTCTCCTTTCTCTTTGGACACTGTGGGTTCTTGCATCACTTTTCCAGACCTCAGAGTGATTGCACTCACATTTTTAGGATTTGCTACAGTTTGTGCAGGGAGGTTTCCTGAACCTTGAGATTGCATCTGGTTCAGAGATGAGGCTAGTTGTCCCATTTGGTTCTCCAAAGTCTTAATACTAGCCTCGGTTCTTTGCTGGAAAGTGATGTTGTTCATGGTCAATTGCTTCATGAGCTCCTCCAGTGATGGTTCATTTTTCTGGGGTGCATTTGGTTGTGAGGAAGATGGTTGGTGATGTTGTTGGGCTTGTTGTGGTTGATGTTGAGATGGATGGAATCTATTTGGGCCAGCATGATGTGCTTGATATTGAGTGCCGTGCTGCTGGTTTTGTTGTTGAGAATTGTTTCCCCATCTCAAATTTGGATGGTTCCTCCAGCCTGGGTTATATCTATTGGAAGATAGATCCCAATTGGGCTGCTGCTGCGAATTTGGAAAAGGAAATTTATTAGTGTAAATATTTGCAGCATAGGCCTGAGGATTACCTTCTAAAGTATCAGACTCTTGTAGTGTAGGACAGCTATCAGTGTAATGGTCTGTAACTGAGCAAATACCACACAACATGGCTAGAATGGGTGGCGGAGCAGATGAGGATGCAGCAACACTCTTTTGCATGGAAGCCAATTGCTTCACCATGGATGCCAATTCATCAAGCTTGTGTTCTATTTTACTAGACTTAGCAACTTGAACTTCACTCACATTTCTGGTAACACAAGAATTTTGCCTTGTTGCAAATTGTTGTGAGTTGGCAGCCATATTCTCTATCAAATTCCGGGTTGCAATTGGAGTTTTGTCAACCAACGCCCCTCCACTTGCGGCGTCTATCATGCTTCGGTCCATAGGGTGCAGTCCTTCATAGAAGTACTGTATGAGCAATTGATCACTAATTTGGTGATGAGGGCAGCTAGCACACAACCTCTTGAATCTTTCCCAATATTCATAGAGGGTCTCTCTTTCAAGTTGCCTTATCCCACATATTTCCTTTCTTATGGACGCAGCTCTTGATGCTGGAAAAAATTTCTCCAGGATAAGTCTCTTCAAGTTGTCCCAACTAGCAATAGATCCTGGAGGGAGATAGTAGAGCCAATCCTTGGCTGCATCCATCAGAGAGAATGGAAAAGCCTTTAACTTGACATGCTCCTCAGGCACACCTTGTGGCCTCATAGTTGAACAAACAATATGGAACTCCTTGAGGTGCTTGTGCGGATCTTCACCTGCAAGGCCATGAAATCTTGGCAACAAGTGTATTAGTCCAGTTTTTAGAACAAAAGGAGCATCAATATCAGGATACTGTATGCATAAAGTTTGATATGTTACATCCGGTGCAGCTAGTTCCTTTAATGTTCTTTCATTGTCAGCCATGTTTTCAATTCCAAATTCTAATGAATGGGGTGATGAATAGATAGATGAAGGAGATGAAAACTCTTCAAAATGTTCAGAACTATCCCTATGTGTTCTAATGCTACTATGAAATGTCCTATCAATCTCTGGGTCAAGTGGATACAAGTCCCCAGGATTCGATCTGGTCATGCACTAGAAACTAATTATAAGGAATGAAAAGAAGTAAGCTAGATGAAACAGCAAAAAAATGCAGAAAAAAATCAGATGACACTTATGCAGAAAACTAATGTCTATGTGCAGTAAAATGAAGCAAAGAGGTTAAGCAACAAAAACAGAAAAGGAATTGCAATTAATTGTAAGAAAACACAACACAAGCTAGTAAATGCTGCAGAATTATGCAGCAAAAACAGAGTAATAATGCAGAAAAACAGGAAACAGAACACTAAAACAGAGCAACTAACAAGTTCAATGCAAAATTAACACCAAAGTTCCCCGGCAACGGCGCCAATTTGATGGAACGATTTTTCACTACTCGTTATGCACAAAGATTGTCGTTAATCCTCATCAAATATGCAAGATATAAATGCAATACTAGGGTGTTGTCCTAGGTTATCTCCAAGGAACTTTTGGTTGGGAACATACATCGAACAAGTGTAAACATATATTTTAAAGCAAGTAAATTGGGGGGAGGTTTGTCAATTTCTAGATTTTAATCAAGAACAGAATGTAAACTAATGAAATTCAATCAATTAAAAAGAGTAATCCCTAGTCAATCAATGAGTTCTATCCCTATTCTTTCAAATGATTCAATAATCCTCTATTTTTCCCTTGAATTAAGTTAATTTAACAAGCGAAAATTAACTTTAGTATCCCAATTAAAATTAAGCATCTTAATGGGCTCCAATTCTCTATCCCTAAGATTAAGCAATCTCAAAGATTAATCAAAATTAAGCAATTTTAGATTAGAATTTCGTTGGGTAATTTAGGGTTCATTAAGCAATGTTCCCCTCATGCAAATTTCATTTCATTCAGAGATTGGGGTTAATAAATCCAAGGAAAGAAAGAGTGATATTGCCATTAAACTCAAGAATTCAAGAACCATATGAGTTGACTAGGAATTACAAGAGAATTTAGCCCTCCATATGGATGGGCTTCACAAATAAAAGAAGAGAATGTAGAAACATAAGCAACATTAATGTAAAATCAAGGAGAATCCAAGGGAAATTGGAAATTAAAACCTATAATGGATCCCTGGCTATCACCCAAGAATCCTAAGCTCTGCAAAATGCTCCAAAAGTGGTAAAAGAATCTAAGGAAAATCAATCCCGTACCCTAATTTCTAAAAGTCTATATATACTAAGTCTGACATGGCCCCATAGTGATCACTCTGTAAAACAAGAGAGTAAACACGCGCAGCAACTTTAGCTTTTTCCCTTTCTGGAGTGATTACTCTCATTTCTGAGAGTAAACACGCGCATGGCACTTCCTTCTGGGCGTCTCTGGAGTGATTACTCCCATTTCTGAGAGTGTTTACGCGCAGGACACTTGGGGTCTGGGGCTTCTGGAGTGATCACTCTGATAACTGAAAGTGGTTACTCTGGCCTATCCCTTGAAACCAGCTCCCTGGAGTGATTACTCTGGTATCTGATAGTAGTTACTCTCAGTTCATATTTTTTTCAAAGAGCCAAAAATTCATGAAATTTGTCTAGAATTCCCTGCACAATTATTCAAATGATCAAAATTGCAAAATATATTCACAAAAATTAATGGAAATAAGACAAAAATTAAGAAAGCTCTTGTTTTCTACCTAAATAAGATTTTAATGTTATTTACAGCCTCTAAATCTATTTTTTTCTATTAAAACTTTATAAAAATCAAATAAAATATCTATAAAGTGTGGATTCATCAAGGACTTGTTGAAAGCTTGTGTGCTTGAGCAGAAGGGACTTGGGAGGAATGCCTACCATTGGTGGAGTTCACTTCTAACAACAGTTATCATGCTAGCATTGGGATGGCACCATTTGAGGCCTTGTATGGACAGAGGTGTCAAACTCCTCTGTGCTGGTATGAGGATGGAGAGGCTACTCTGTATGCACCGGATATGATCTAGAAGCAAAATGAGCAAATCAAGATGATCAGGGAGAAAATGAAGGCTACACAAGATCGACAAAAGAGCTACTATGATAGGAGGAGAAAGCCTTCGGAGTTCCAGGTAGGTGACCATGTGTTTTTAAAGGTCTTACCTGTGACCGGAGTTGGGAGAGCTTTGAAATCTCAAAAACTATCTCCTAAGTTCATTGGACCATTCAAAGTGCTGAGTAGAATTGGTCCTGCTGCATACTGTATAGCGTTGCCTCCGAACCTCTCGAACCTACATCCGGTGTTCCATGTGTCACAACTCAGGCAATATGTTTCGGATCCTTCCCATGTGATTGATCCTGACCCGGTTGAAGTAAGATAAGACTTGTCTTATGACGTGTATCCGGTGAGGATAGCGGATCACCGTGTTAAACAATTGAGGGACAAGGAGATCACATTGTTGAAGGTGGTATGGAATTCAAGTGATGAGGGAGATGTCACATGGGAAATGGAGAGTAGAATGAGAGAGTTATATCATAGATTGTTTGCGTAATCTGTGTATGTTGGGTTGAATTTTGGGGACGAAATTCTCTAAAAGGAGGGGAGAATTGTAACGCCCCAAATTTTGTAATAATGTTTAATTGTTAAGGTATGGGTGTGTGTGTGTGTATATATATATATATGTCTGGATTTTCCTATGAGGCGTGTTGATTGACATGAGGAAGATGTTGATAAATCTATATTTTACTAGTATTTTACCTTAGTTTTAATACCTCTGATAAAGAAAACATATTGGAAAAAGCAGAAAAACTCATAAAAATAACAGAATGATTAAAGTTTTCTCTAAACACATAGTTGTTTTAGAATTTATGAATTTTTTATGTAGAAATTAATGATTCAATCATATTTTTTGTAGGAAATTCTGAGCTAAGTTCATGAGGTTGGAAGATCAAAGTAAAGATAGAAGGAAAGTAGCAAAACTAGAATCAAGGAACAAGGTTTAATGAAGCAAGAGCTGGGCGTGATCACTATCGCTGGTGAAAGTGATCATTTCAGAGCTTGAAAGTGAAGGGAAATATGCACGTGATCACTTTCATTGATGAAAGTAAGTGTTCCAGAGAAGCTTCAATCATAGCAAAGCACACGTGAACACTTTTCCTAGCAAAAGTGACGTTCCGGAGAAGCTTCAATCATAGCAAAGCGTGCGTGATCACTTTTCCTGGCAAAAGTGATCGTTCCAGAGAAGAGCTCCAGCATAGCAAAGAGCGCGTGATCACTTTTCTTGGCAAAAGTGATCACTCCAAAGAAGCCTCTAGGAAAGCAAGTTGCGCGTTATCACTTTTTTTCACAAAAGTGATTGTTCTAGAGAACCTTCCATCACTGCAAAGTTGCGTGTCTCCTTTTGCCAACGAAAGTGAACACGCATAGATCTCGAACCTTAGCATGGCTACTTTTGTGAAGAAAAGTGATCATTACAGTCATGAAGAATATTAGAAAAGCCTCTATGTATCTACTTTTATGAAGAATAGTGATCACGCCAGAAAGGCGAAAATTCTATAAATATGAATTAGCTTATATATCTTGGAATCTTTTGTTCATTTCACTTCTCATTTGTTTTCTGGTGTTGAGAGAGTCTGAGAGAGAGATTGGAAATGAACATCAAGCTTCAAATCTTGAGGAATCGGATTGAAGATTGGCTTGAAGATGCTTCTTTGTTCATCATGTTCTTCTCTTTCTTTCTCTTCTCATTTTGTAATTGTTGCTTAAACTTTTTGTAATTAGGGATTGTGAATCTGAAATGGAAGTGTTAAATTGATTTTGAATCTGAACTTTGAATATTGGATTGGATTGAATAATTGATTCTGCTATTCACATAGTGAGTGAATGGAAATTTGAGCAACTAATTACAGAGGAACTCTTATCAATGGAAGTTGAATTTGTTTCTCGAACCTAAATCAATTACCAAGGTTATTGATTTCTTAGGGATAAGATATCTTGATCTTGCAATCTTCTGGTTTCTAATGCTTAATGCAACATTTAATTGAACCAGATCTAAGGAATTAGAGTGATTGAGTTAAGGAATTAACCTTTGAATAATAAAACGTGAAACTGATTGTCATTCCATCTAAATACTTGAAAGTTCATAACTTTATTGAATCAACACTAAAGTTTTGGTGAAACAAGTCCCTAACTATGTTTTCTACATCTGTCAAATACATACTTTCATATTCATTGTTCTGTTTTGTTTTCTAATTTCAATATTGGTTACTTTTGCATCCGAACTTCATCTGAAATTCGTGAGGCTCAACTAATTGTGGACTTGTGAAGTGATAATTGAGAACTTTATTCCCTAAGGACAATATTTGGTACTCAAACATAGTTCTAACATTTTATTACTTGCTACAATAACACTAGTACACTTGCTAGTCAAAATTACTTTTGTTAAGAAAGTGACAAGTTTTTGGCGCTATTGTCGGGGAATATTTGTTTTCAATATCAGTAAAAGGAAAATAACTAGATTGAGCATTTGTTCTTTTTAAATTTTCTGCAATATTATATTATATTTAAAATTTTTCTGTTTTGCAATCAATTGATAGAACTGAAGAACTTTGTTGAAAATTTTATTGAACTTCTGGATGTATTTGTTTGCATTATTCTGTTATTCTATGATAGAACTTAAAGCTAGGGAGCAGTCAATATACATTCTGGATTTGCCATTGGGCAAAAAAGTTATAATCTCTCTGATTCTGATTGCTAATGTTGTGCATTTGCATTTTGTAATTCATTATGAGTATGAATAATTGCATTTTTCATTACAGCAGATTGTACTCTAACTT